GTCATCCTAATTACCGTTTTTTCCCCCAAGGAACTCCAACTTGTCAAAAAGGACATGAAATTGTATAAAAGATAGTTGGGTCTTGATCTGCTTAAGGTTTCATGCAGGGGAGGCCTGCACCATAAAGACTGAGATCCCAGTTCTAACTGAACCACCCTGACATATAAACATTGGACTATTTCTGAAAGAACTCCTTGCATCTACAAAGCTCACCATCTCTGCTATGAATCTGAATCTTTAGAACTGAACTCATGTCTATATAGATATTGATCTTTTAACATACTTTCTCTCTTGTTTTTTAATAAAATTTAGTTTAGTTAATAAGAATTGGCTGTAGCGTGTATTTGGGTAAGATATGAAACATTCATTAACCTTGGAGGTAATGAGTCCGATCCTTTGGGATTGGTAGAACCTTTTATTTTATATGATGAAATAAGATTTTCAGAAGTCATCATATTTGACTTAGGTACCGGATGGAGGCCTGAGGCTGGATCACTTTAAGGGAACTATGGTTTTGGACTTCTGAGTAACCAGTAAGGTAATAAAGAAGTTTTTTTTTTATGCTGGCTTGGTAAATATAAAAATTGGAATATCCATTAGCTTTTTGGTGATTGTCTGCCCCGTTCTTTGCAGTGAGTGACCACAGCCTAAGTGAGTGACCACAGCTGGCTCCCACTGAGCCATGGTCACAAAGGATTATAAGGAATAGTCCAGAATAGATTGGTCAAGAACAAATCATGCCAAAACACCCTCATTTCCTTCTTTGACTGAATTACTGGCCTAGTGGGGGATGGAGGGTAGTTGAGATAGATCTTTTAGTAAGGCATTTGATACAGTCCCACATGATATTCATATAAGTAAACTAGGGGAAAATGGTCTAGATGAAGTTACAGAACAATTTTTCTCCCTCCTCCTTGTAACAACAATTTTCTGGAAGATTCTGCTTTAACCAGACACAAGTCGTTGGGCTCAATACAGGAATCACCAGATGAAATTTAGTGGCATGTGCTATACAGGTCAGGCTTGATAATCTAATGGTTTTTTCTGGCCTTAAACTCTATGAATCTATTACTATAAGGTGGGTGCATAACTGGTTGAAATACTGTATTCAAAGAGCAGTTATCAATGGCTTGCTGTCTAATTGGGAGGACATTATCTAGTGGGGTCAGTCTTCGGTTCAGTACTATTCAGTATTTTCATTAATGACTTGGACAATGGAGTGGAGAGTATACTTATAAAATTTGTGGATGATACAACCTGTGAGGGGTTGCTATCACTTTGAATGAGAGGATTCAAAATGACCTTGACAAATTGGAGAATTGGTCTGAAATCAACAGGATGAAATGCAATAACGATAAATTTAAAAGTACTTCACTTAGGAAGGAAAAAATCAAATGCACAAGTACAAAATGGGGAATGAGTGGCTAGATGCTAGTACAGCTGAAAAGGGTCTGGGTGTTACAGTAGATCACAAATTGAATATGAATCAAAAATGTGATGCAGCTGCAAAAAGGGCAAATAGGGGTGTATTAATAGGAGTGTCATATGTAAGACATGGGAGTAAAAGTCCTGCTCTACTCAACACTGGTGAGGACTCAACAGGATACCATGTCCAATCTGGGTGCCAAACTTTAGGAAAGATGTGGGCAAACTGGAAAGAGTCCAGACAAGAGCAACAAAAACCATAAAAGGTTTAGAAAACCTGTCCTGTGAGGAAAGGTTACAAAAACTGGGCACGTTTTTCTCAAGACGTTTAGTCTTGAGAAAAAAAACAGGGGTGGGGGACCTGATAAGTCTTCAAATATGTTAAGGGCTGTTATAAACAGGATAGTGATCAATTGTTCTCCATGTCCACTAAGGTAAGACCAGAAGTAATGGGCTTATTCTGCAGCAAGGGAGAATTAGGGTAGATATTAAGCAAAACTTTGACCATAAGGGTAGTTAAGCACTGGAATAGGCTTCCAAGGGAGGTTGTGGAATCCCTATCATTGGCAGACTTTAAGAACAGGGTGGACAAACACATATCGGGGATTGTCTAGGATTATTTGGTCCAGCTACATTGCAGGGGGCTGGATTTGATGATTTCTCAGGGTCCCTTCCAATCCTACATGTCTATATTTCCATGTATTTCCTAAGGATTAGACAGATTAACCCCCTCACCAACATGCTGGGAGCCTAGAGGGAGGAATATTCAGTGAGGTTCTCTCATACAACATTATCATAATTCTTTCAGGCAGGGATCTGTGGAGGGTGAGGTTTGCTCCACACTGACTCTAGGATTCCCAGCTCCTTCCCTCTACTGCTGCCCTCACAATCCCTGTCCATGAAGCATGGAAAGGGATTCCACACAAAGGGCACTGCAGAAAAGGGAATATTACTTGGGGCTTTCTTTATGGTAGAATTTACTCTACCTGCTGGACGTGGGTTGGAGATAAAGGAATGATACATGCCCCCACACACTTCCCCTCACATGTGGAGCCCAGGATCGATGGAGCTCCATGTCCAGATCCAGCATCCAAAGTAGGACAGGACTTTTAAGGGTGGCTTCCTCTGCAAAGAAGGACAGAGGCTGGCACATAGAAGGCCCCCTCCATGAACAGTCATGGTGGGAATGACCTTCCCCTCCCCTCCCCTGTTTCCAGGAACGTACCTGGGGAAGAGAGAGTTCAATCTGAAATTTCACAGTGGCCTTTTGTTAGAAGACAAAAATGGTGCTGAGGAAGAAAAGTGCACAGTGGTAGTGGAAAAAAAGTAAAATATGAATCCTTAATTGCTTAGGCACACACTTGTGGTCAGTGAAAACGCTAACATATTTCCACTTACATTTGCTAATTAAAACATTCAGTGAATAAAGTGACTACATTTCACAAGAAAAACTGTTTATAATCCTTGTAATCTGTTGCTAATTCCTTTAGGGCATCATTTACCCAAATTTGACCAATATGCTTAACTGTTAAAACAAAATTAGCATAGGTTTGTGTTGTACAGTACTTGGATTGCACGTAATTAAGAGTGCATGAGCTCAGTTTTCCCCTTAGCATTTAGTTTGGTTTTATAGTTAACATGGAGAGGCAAACATCATCCTGGGGTAATTAATATTGTATAAAGTAATGAGGAGCAGGGGCAAGAGTCTGGCTGTGGGGTTATAACGGGTGGGCAAACTTTTTGGCCCGAGGGCCACATTGGGGTTGCAAAACTGTATGGAGGGCTGGGTAGGGAAGTCTGTGCCTCCCCAAACAGCCTGGCCCCCAACCCCATCCACTCCCTCCCACTTCCGGCCCCTGACTGCACCCCTCAGAACCCCCGACCCATCCAACCCCCCCTACTCCTTGTCCCCTGACCGCCCCCAACCTTAACTGCCCCCCTGGGACTCCACCCCCTATCCAACCCCCGCTGTTCTTTGTCCCCTGGCTGCCCCGACTCCTATCCACACCCACACCCCTTGACAGGCCCCCGGAACTCCCACGCCAATCCAACCCCCCTGTTCCCTGTCACCTGACCGCCCCCCCAACCCATCCAATCCCCGCTGTTCCTTCTCCCCTGACTGCCCCCCCTGCTGGAACCTCTGCCCCATCCAACCGCCCCCTGTCCCTTATTCAATGCCCTGCTCTCTTACCATGTCAGCTGCCGCTCAGAGCAGCAGGAGCTCGCAGCCCGCCCGCCCAGCCAAAGCCAGCCACGCCACTGCCCTGCCCAGCAGGAGCGGCAGGCCAGAGCGCTGGCAGCGTGGTGAACTGAGGCTGCGGGGGAGGGGGGATGTAGGGGAGGGGCCGGGGGCTAGCCTCCCTGGCCGGGAGCTCAGGGACCAGGTAGGACGGTCCCGCGGGCTGTAGTTTGCCCACCTCTGGGTTATAAGATACAACAAAACTGGAGAGTCAAAAGAGGTTCACATCTTTTGTGAACAGCGTGTGATAAAGCAGCAGATCTGAAATGCTTGGAATGATTACAGGGTCTTCGGAAAGAGAGTAGTATTTGGCTAAAGCTAGAGAAGTGGATAACCACCTGACCATGTAAAGTATTTCTTACTTAGTCTTCTGAGCATACTAACCCTGGTCTACACTACAGGGTTAGGTTGAATTTAGCCGCATTAGGTCGATTTTAAAATGAATGTGTCTACACAACCAACCCCATTCCGTCAACCTAAAGGGCTCTTAAAATCGACTTCTGTGCTCTTCCTCAGCAAGGGGAGTAGCGCTAAAATCAACCTTGCTGGGTCGAATTTGGGGTAGTGCAGACGCGATTTGACGGTATTGGCCTCCGGGAGCTATCCCAGAGTGCTCCAATGTGACCATTCTGGACAGCACTTTGAACTCCACTAGCCAGCTACACAGTAAAAGCCCCAGAAAATTTTGAATTTCATTTTCTGTTTGGTCAGCATGGCGAGCTCAGCAGCACAGGTGACCATGCAGTCCCCCTAGAATCAAAAGAGCTCCAGCATGGACCGAAAGGGAGACACTGGATCTGATTGCTGTATGGGGAGAAGAATCTGTGCAGGCCAAACTCTGATCAAAAAGAAGAAATGCTAATATATATGCCAAAATTGCACAGGGCATGGTGGAGAGAGGCTACAACAGGGACACACTGCAGTGCCACATGAAAGTGAAGGAGCTCATGCAAGCCTACCAAAAGACAAAGGAGGCAAACAGTCACTCTGGGTCAGAGCCCCATACATGCTGCTTCTATGATCAGCTGCATGCCATTCTAGGGGGGGACCCTACCACTACCCCACCACTGTCCATGGACACCTGTAAGGGGGGAGTCTCACACAACAGTGAGGAGGATTTTGTGGATGAGGAAGAGAAGGAGAATGCGCAGTAGACAAGCAGTGAATCCGTTCTCCCCAGCAGCCAGGACCTTTTCATCACCCTGGAGCCAATACCCTCCCAAGATGGGATCCCCGACCCTGAAGCCAGAGAAGGCACCTCTGGTGAGTGCACATTTGTAACTACAGTGCAGGGTTTAAAAGCAATAATGTTTAATGTTTGATTTGCCCTGAAGAATTGGGATGCATTCGTGGCCAGTACAGCTACTGGAAAAGTCTGTTAACGTGTCTGGGGATGGAGCAGGAATCCTCCAGGGACATCTCCATGACGCTCTTCTGGAGGTACTCTGAAAGCCTTTGCAGAAGGTTTCTGGGGAGGGCTGCCTTATTTCATCCTCCACGGTAGGACACTTTACCATGCCAAGCCAGTAGCAAGTAGTCTGGAATCATTGCAGCACAAAGCATGGCAGCGAAAGGTCCTGGGTTTTGGTCGCATTCAAGCAACATTCGGTCTTTATCTTTCTGTGTTAGCCTCAGGAAAATGATATCATTCATGGTCACCTGGTGGAAATAGAGGAATTTTTGTAAGGAAACAGTAAAAGGACCCCATCCATGCTGGGTTGTTTGTGCTTGACTAAAAGGGATCATCCCGGAGAATAGCCATGTGGTGGGTGAGGGGAGGTGTATGCTACATATCCACCCAAAAACCGCACCCCCTCCTTTTAAATGTGAAACCCAACTGGCATTGCTTGCTATGGGAAAGGATGGTGCTGCAGTTTGAAACCATTCCCACATGTTATGAAGGCAGAAGAAGCCAACCCTGCATATCAAAAGGCTTACTATGGCTGCCTGGAAACCGAATTCTGTTGCCCAACCGTGTGTGATGTCTCACCATACAGCAGGCACTCAATATAAAAGGCAAAATGAGACCTTGTACCTAAAGCAACATGTTCTGTGTGCTGTGAATTGCTTGATTCACTGTGAAAGAGTCTCCCTTTTGTTCTCAGAAACGTATCCTCTTAAATTTTACTCTCCCTTTTTATCTCGCCCAGATGCAAATGTTTATATGCTCCCCCTATCATCTCCATCCGTGAGGTTATCGCAGATTAGAAGGCGAAAAAAACCGCACTCACGATGACATGTTTTCCGATCTCATGCAGTCCTCCCACACTGATAGGGCACAGCTTAATGCATGGAGGCATTCAGTGGCAGATACCAGGAAAGCATTAAGTGAGCACGAAGAGCAGAGGCAGGAGGCAATGTTGAGACTAATGGAGGAGCAAACGGACATGCTCAGGCGTCTGGTGGAGCTGCAGGAAAGCCAACAAGAGCACAGACCCCCACTGCATCCATTGTATAACCGCCTGCCCTCCTCCCCAAGTTCCATATCCTCCTCCCTCAGACACCCAAGAATGTGGTGGGGGAGGCTCTGGGCACCCAGCCAGTCCACTCCAGAGGATGGCCCAAGCAACAGAAGGCTGTCATTCAAACAGTTTTGATTTGTAGTGTGGCGACATAAGCAATGTGTCCTTGTCCTTCCCTCCTTCCACACCCCACCCCACCCGGGCTACCTTGTCAGTTATCTCACTTTTTTTTTAATTAATAAAGAAAGAATGCATGGTTTCAAAACAATAGTTACTTTATTTCCTTTGCCATCTGTGATCGAAGTGGGGAGGGTGGTTGGCTTACAGGGAATTAAAATCAACAAAGAGAGCAGGTTTGCAGCAAGGAGAAACACACACAGCTGTCACACTGTAGCCTGGCCAGTCATGAAACTTGTTTTCAAAGCCTCTCAGATGCACAGCACACCTAGCTGTGCTCTTCTAATCGCCCTGGTGTCTGGCTGCTCAAAATTGGCCACCAGGCGTTTTGCCTCAACCTCCCACCCCACCATAAACATCTCCCCCTTACTCTCACAGATATTATGAAGCACACAGCAAGCAGCAATAACAATGGGAATGTTGGTTGCGCAGAGGTCTAACTTAGTCAGCAAACAGCGCCAGTGCGCTTTTAAATGTCCAAAGGCACATTCTACCACCATTCTGCACTTGCTCAGCCTATAGTTGAACTGCTCCTTTCTACTGTCCAGGCTGCCTGTGCACAGTTTCATGAGCCATGGTAGCAAGGGTAGGCTGGGTCCCCAAGGATAACTATTGGCATTTCAACATCCCCAACGGTAATTTTCTGGTCTAGGAAGTAAGTCCCTTCTTGCAACTGCTCAAACAGCCCTGAGTTCCTAAAGATACAAGCGTCGTGCACTTTTCCTGGCCATCCCACGTTGATGTCGGTGAAACGTCCCTTGTGATCCACCACCAATGGTGTGATGCAGCACCATTGAGAAGTACCCCTTGTGGTTCACGTACTGGTTAGCAAGGTGGTCCGGTGCCAAAATAGGGATACGTGTTCCATCTATCACCCCACCACAGTTAGGGAAACCCATTGCAGCAAAGCCATCCAGTATGACCTGCACATTTCCCAGAGTCACTACCCTTGATAGCAGAATGTCCATGATTGCAGTGGCTATTTGGATCACAGCAGTCCCCACAGTAGACTTGCCCACTCCAAATTGATTCCCAACTGACCGGTAGCAGTCAGGCATTGCAAGCTTCTACGGGGCTATCGCCACTCGCTTCTCAACCGTCAGGGCAGCTCTCATCTTGGTATTCCTGAGCTTCAGGGCAGGGGAAAGCAACTCACAAAGTTCAAGGAAAGTGGCCTTACACATGCGAAAGTTTCACAGCCACTGTGAATCATCCCATACCTGCAACACTATGCAGTCCCACCAGTCTGTGCTTGTTTGCCAGGCCTAGAATCAGCATTCCACTGTATCAACCATCCCCACTGCCGCCATGATGTCCCAATTGCCACAGCCCATGCTTTCAGGAACATCTGTGTCCATGTCTTCATCACAATCATCCTCATGCTGGAGTCTCTTAGCCCAGTTCCGCACATACTCCAGGATAATGTGCAAGGTGTTTACGATGCTCACAACAGCAGCGGTGAGTTGAGCGGGCTCCATGCTTGCCATGGTATGGTGTCTGCATGGGTAACCCAGGAAAAAAGGTGCAAAATGATTGTCTGCAGTTGCTTTCACAGAGAGAGGGAGAGAGGGGCGACTGACGACATGTACCCAAAACCACCCTCAACAATGTTTTTGCCCCATCAGGCATTGGGAGCTTAGCCCAGAATTCCAATAGGCAACAGAGACTGTGGGAAGTGTGGGATAGCTACCCACAGTGCACCGTTCCATAAGTCAACGCTAGCCAAGATATTGAGGACACACTCCACCGACTTAATGTGCTTAGTGGGGACATACACAAACGACTCTATAAAATCAATTTCTAAAAATCAACTTCTATAAAATCAACCTAATTTTGTAGTGTAGACATACCCTTAGTATACTATGAAAGGGTCAAGATAATGAAAGGCAAACAGAGGGAAAAATTACTAATAATAGCTTTAAATTAAGAATGACTCATTTAATAGTTGTTTGCAGTGTTATTATAGCTGTGTTGGTCCCAGGATATTAGAGAGAAAAAGGTGGGTGAGGTAATATCTTTTATTAGACCAACTTCTATTGGTCAAAGACTCCACAAGCTTTCAAGCTTAAACACAACTGTTTTTCAGATCTGGAAAAGGTACTCAGAGTATCACAGCTGAATACAAGGGTGGAATAGATACAGCATTCATCTTAAATTATCTTTTGCAACATATATTAAATCCAGCAGTTTATACCTCTACAGTCAGGAGATAAAGGAACTCTAAATCCAGTGTCTTTATTAAGTCCATATTATTTGGTGTCTTGTGGAGTTATGAATTTTAGTTCCCAGGCTCATCTTTTAAAAGTGTTGTGCAGGTTTCCTTTGAGGATGTGGACTGACAGGTCAGATATGCAGTGATCATTTCGTAAAAAGTGTTTGTCCATGAGTGATATGGCATTTTTGTCTTTTACTATTTTTCTGTGAGAGTTCATTCAAGAGAATAGTGATTGTCGGGTTTCTCCCACTCCATTGTTGCTGGGGCATTTGATACATCGGATGAGGTTCCCCACATGTTGTGACAGGCATGCATAGGACCAATGGATCTTGACAGTGTGTTGTGACGGGTATTGATCATCATAGCAGTCAAGATATGTCTGCAGGTTTTGCATTTGTTGTTCTGCAAGGGCTGGTGCCGCTTTGAGTTGGTGTATCCTGGTCAGCAGGGAGCTTCCTTCTGATGATGAGCTTGGCAAGGTAGTGAATTGTCTGAAGGCCAGAAGAGGGGGTTCAGGAAAGATTTTTTTCAGAATATGGGTCTGTTTAATAATAATTAATTCCAATGCATTTGATTCATGCTTCTATATATAGCAATAATTAATTTTTGCATGTACAGTTTGATTCAGAATAAAATGAGGGCTAATGTTTTAGATGCATGAAAAAAGTGAATTTTGATTTCGTTTCCTAAATGTTTCTAGATTTTTGTATGAATCAAATGTTGTAAAATTCAAGAACAACTGAAAAGGGTGAAATCCTGCTGTTATTGGAGTCAATGGAAATACGGCCATTGACTTTATCAATGCCAGGATTTCACCCCAGAGCTTATGTACCTAAGTGCCAACGGCCATTTTAAAAAGCTGGCTAACCCCTAGAAACCCCTTAAATAGGTTTCCCTGCTATTTATAATCTTGCTATTCTATCAAAATAAAATGGTCAGTAATATTGCTCAAGAAGAAGATATTTTCACTTATCAGCTCGTGACATAGGACTTCCAGTTCCATTTACTCTAGTGCTTGTAAGGGAGCCAGAGCAACTATAGCTCCTGGAATTCATGGAGAGAAAATTCAGGAATACATTAATTCTCTTCTGTAACGTTATAATTGAAAGTCATTTTCCACCATTAGTCAAGCTATTTGGTTATGAACTGTTTTGTCCTCTCGTAAAATGTGTGAGATAATCATCACCTTGGTCATGACTGGGAGATTGAACTGGGAATCTCCAGAGCTAAAAGCATGGGCCTATACAATTTGAGATAAAGATGAACATCTATAGCTTGAAACTGTAGAAGAGGGAATGAAACACACCACAAATTGAGTTACATATGCACATACTGACTTCCGCCCAAGAGAAACTCAACCCAGCTCCTGAGTGCTTAACCGAGACTCTCCCCTTTTAGATCATCTGGTAGAGCTGCTGGCATAAAGTTCCATCTTAACCGTGGTAACAAGCAGGCTACAAACAGTGGCTTTGATTCCACTCTCTCTTCCCATGGTGTAGATCAAGAGTAACTTTATGGATGTCAATGCACTTAAAACCACTGTGAGATTACAGTTCAATCTAATGCATCCATGCAGCCCTCCAAGATGGGGAGTTTAGTTAATTAAGTCTGATGTAGTTACTGGCCGGTTGAAGACACTCATTTCTCCTTCCTTTTTTTCTCCCTTCTTTATCCTCTTTGTTGCATCTCTCCTCTTAGTCTTAATTTTTCTTCATGGCTTTCTGCCTGTTTTTGCTTTTGGGGTCAATTCTCTCTCTTTCTCTCTCTCTCTCTATTTGCACATCTTTCAGTCTCTGCCTTCTGTTTCAGCCAGGTCTGCAGCTGCAAAAAACTCAGACGCTTTGGTGTGACCATGTCTATGTACTGAGTCATATTCATGCAGCAAGGCAAAAGCTAGCTTAGTTGCGTGGCAGGTTTAGAGTCCTCCTGCAGCTGCTAGTCTGGCATGCCGTTCAAGAAGTGGTGTGGCAGGGTGGGTTCATAATTGGGTTACACAGGTGACTATTTGCTGTAGATATCTCACACTTTGAGCTGACACTTAGATACAAGGTATCCCACTTTGACAGCTACAGGAGGGAAAGAAAGAGGATATTCACTCTGAAGCTATCTGTATCGTACTATCTTGAATAGACTCACAAATTCTCTGCTGCCAGACTATTAACTTCTCAGGTATATTTGTGTGAAACAAGTGACACCCAGTGGCTGGTTCAGTTAATTACTATTTGTATTTAAGCCTTCACTTTTTGAGCCAGGTACTCTGATGATCCTTCCCTTGCTCTCTTCTTTTATCTGCTTCCCGTCTAGGCTAAGGGCCTGTAGCATATTAACCTATCCTTCTGGCTGAAGATAGCTAGACAGCTCCTTCAAGAACTGCTCCATGAGGGCATGCTGAAGAGGGACTCCAGGCCCTGGTCTACACTGTGGGGTGGAGGGAGGTAAATTGATCTAAGTTAAGCAACTTCAGCTATGTGAATAATGTAGCTGAAGTTGACGTACTTAAATCGACATACCATGGTGTCTTCACCGCGGTGAGTCGACTGCTGCCGCTCCCCCATCCACTCTGCCTGCGCCTCTCATAGTGCTGGAGTACAGGAGTAGACAGGAGAGCGCTTGGGGGTCAATTTATCGTGTCTAGACTAGACGTGATAAATCGATCCCCACTGGATCGATCACTGCCTGCCAATCCGACGGGTAGTGAAGACATACCCCAGGATTAAGGGGGCAGATAAAGGAGCAACAACCTCACTTTATCACAAACTGGAATCCCAAATTTTGTACCACCATTAGACCACCAGGTCAGTCACGACAAACGCTGTTTGAATCTTAAAGCAACACTAACAGTGTTTTTTAAAAGGGGTTTCATTGTATCCATATGAAACCACAAATCCAAGGGAGCTGCGTGGCACTTTGGGTCATAAGGAAAGGAAGGAGATAACTGCACTTGGCAAAAATCTAAAGCTGCACTTGACTGTGAGCATTTATATTTTGCTCCTGAAAAATATACAAGTATATTGATAGCATAGCATAGCAACAGCCTACGTAATCTCAAGTGGGGTTAAGGGGTGAGACCTTGTGGAGGGGGCTGTAAGCATCCTCACCAAGGAATATTTGTAAACACTTGAAATTAAGTGCAACCAAATTCAAGGACATTTTTGTGGGTTCCAGAGCTCAGTCATTTCTGTAATAGACAGTTCTGTCGAGGATGCCGCCTACAGAGGTAGGGAAACCATCTCTGTTTTCTCAGTTGGAGAGAAAAAATTTAACAGGGTACCTCTGAGAATCACATGATTTGGAAGGAGTTGTTTGAACAGTGTTTGGCAGATCTCTAATTTGGCCTGTGACAGGTTTCAATTGGTCCACTGAGCAGGCCTGGGTCACTCCTTTTTGTCACTGGGGAATTAGCGGCGGGAGGTGCACCGGCCAGAGTCTGCGGCACGCCCCTCAGGCAGGGGGAGCGCCGGCCAGAGTCTGCGGCGCGCCCCTCAGGCAGGGGGAGCGCCGGCCAGAGTCTGCGGCATTGTCAGGATTCTGCTCCCCAAGGCGGGTTGGCCGGGATAGGGGAACGCAGGCCCACCCAACTCCACTGCGTTCCAGCCCAGAGCCCTGACAGTCCCGCCACTGGGTCAGCAGGGAGCCATCCGCAACATGCTGACCAAATAGACCCACCACGCTGTGCAGTTCTTCCCCTGGGCTACTTCCTACCTGGTCTCTCAAGCGGGTCCCTCTGGTCCCTCCAGCTCGTCAGGGTATTCAGCTGCTGGCAGCTCCAGCTCCTCCTCTGCGTCAGGCTCACGCTGGTCCAGGTTATTGCCTGGCTCCTCTAGTTCCTCCGAGTACTCGGCAGCTGGCAGTCCTGGTAGCCCCAGTCCTTCCTCCAGGTCAGGTTTCTCCTGGTCCAGGGCCTCCCCTGGCTCGGCAGAAGGGTCTGAAGGGAAAAGCCAGCAATCTGTGTCTATCTCCCTCTCTGGTGCTGCCCTGACTGGGCTAAGGGCGCCACCCTTTGTACTTCCTGTTCCACCCCTTCCCTTCCGGGGGTTGGAGTAAGCTTGGTCTGGCCCCGCCCACGCAGGCTGAGCGAGTGGCTCTTTACCCTCTGGTTCAGCAGGAAGCCACCCTGGCTCCCTACATGGCCATTCTGGAATGATTCCAAAAGGTAGATCTCCTAGGGCAGACTCAGGAATAGGACAACATTTTCATACAGCATGAGCTGAATTTATCATCTTTATGTTGTTCCTTTTGAGATATGTCTGATACTCAGATTTCTTAGAAAGAACACAGGTAGTTGAGACTCTTCATAGCAACTCTAGCAAATCCTATGCCATTTAAACACTGACAGAACAAATATGCAAACATACAATTACCAAACCACTCCAGAAATCCAAGACAAATTCTGTGGCTGAAAGAGTGAGGTAAAGAGTGAGTACCTGGAAAAATAGATTAACGTGGCCTATGTGGTAGAGACACAACAGGAACATCTCTGAAAACAGGATGTTCCTTATCAACAAATGTTGGTAAGGAAATTTATTAAATGGCTTAGATTTTTAATAAACAATCCAATTAGGTAATGGATGAGCATTCCACGCTGTGTAATTATGTTACAGATTAAAACTCATAAACCAATAATATTTAAAACAAATGTCTCAAAACACTTTCAGTAATTTCTTGGGTGTCTAATATGAACATATGGGCACATGACACACTCTTTTATATACTTCTACTTACTTATAAAATGTCTTGGATAAACGGGAGCAATCTGCTTTGTCAATGAATCCTGTGATCTCCCTGGTTGAGAACAGTATACGTGTTCACGTTTCACGTCATTGAATAAACTTCATCAGTTTCTTTAGTTTCTATTCTGTTCAGGTTCTTATACCCTGCCTATCACTGCGGTTTATGGAGTACCTTGTCTAAATCAGTTTATAAAAGCATTGTTCTAACTCAAACTGTTTTTTAAGGTACATCTTCTAATGTACATGTTGTGAATTTAGTGCTTGTGAAAAATCCTGGAGTCAAAACTCTGCAAGCTGAATCATTATGTTCAAGTATAGACAGGTAAAGAACGTGGTTGCCTGTCCTGACCTGCCAAAATGCTGCAAACAAGCAGACTTAGCCATCTTCACTATGACTGCCAGCAAACGTCTCCAGTTTGATGGCACATATTAACTGAGAACTACAAATCATTTGACATAGGCATTCATTATGTGGTAGACTTTTACCTACTACAGACATGGGGTGGATTCAGTCCAATGAGCTAGAGCTAACAAGTGCTCTCTAATTCTGAGACATCAAATCCTAACTAAGTGAAAGTATTTTAAAGACCTTTTTGTAAAATTAATTTCTGCTTTATTCTTTTTTTAAATAGCTTTTTTCCACCTTACACCACATACAGTCTCCTTATTCTTGCTATACCTCTTGCTTTCAACATTGTGCTTTACTCTTGACTATATTACTGTTAACATTCACGCTTTATTATACATTTTCAAATGATGGTTTTCAACACTTTAGGGTTTAAAATAAAGTTAAAAGCATTGTTGCCATAGAGGGAAATAGCTATGGAAGCCAGAAACGTGCCAATTCCAGGAAAAACCATAAGCAAGCCTAATGCCAGCTATGAGATTCAGTAACAGAAGAATTTTAGGACCCCCACCACTACCAATGAGTAAGGTTTCTCAATAGAAAAAAAGTTAAAAGCCATCATGGGCTTGGCTGACATGTTACTGAAAGCCCTCAGTACCTGGGGAGAGCAGGCCAATCTTTCCTGAGAAGGAAAGATCCTTTACAAAAGAACTATGCTGTAACAATCCCATTTCACATTCTGAAGATAATGTATCCTCCCATTAAATGTTATTTTTATAACAAACTATTTGATGTACACTTTTTTATGGCTAAAACAAGGATATACTTTAATTGCGGGAGGACATTTTGGACCAAATTTTCAAAGAATGGCACCTACGTGATTAACTGCAAAATGTGAAGATGCAAAGAGGAAATGGCATAAAAAAAATACATGTTTGTAACTGCTCTTATGCAAGCTATACAGCATCATTTGGGCCTTGGTGGCATTTGTTACTATGCTTTCTGATGACTGAAGGTAAAGTGTTAACATTGCCAAGCTGGGCAATTATCTTGTGATAACTCACATCGTGCACCCTCTATTGTGAGAGTCTAGGTGTGTATACTATTTGGGGTGACAATCTTTTAGAGTGTGTCCCTTCTGTGAGCATAGGCAGTTCCTTCAGGGCAGCCAAGATCCAAGCTAGGAGTCTCCTCTTCAAAATGCTCTACCTCCTGTGTCACATTATCTTGGGTTACACCTTTCGGTGAAAACAATCTCCAGATATATATATATCACCTGTCCCTTCTTTTAGTCCAAATGTATCTATCACCCACAAGAATACTATCAAGAAAGGGGAAGATTGATTTATTTTAAATTATAGAGCTTAAATTTCAAGTTCAAAGTAAAATGTTTAAAGTTGATTAATTCTGACAGAGAATCCTGCCTTTTCTTACTTTGCATCCTGTGTTCCTCATTTCAACTTCAGCAGCTAGTGAGGTACATTTAAAGGTTCTGTTCTCCCATCAAAACAGACACACAATTCCCATTAGTAGCAATGTAAATTATGAACATATAGAATACAGATTGGACTAAGTATCTTGCAGTGTCTGTCATCTTAATGCCTATGCAATGTTAAGGTACAGAGTGAAAGATTTTCAAAGACAAAAAGGTGCACTTAAGTGTCCAGTTCTAATAAAAGTTGACTCTTATTTGTGCCTTTGAAAGTCTCCCCTGTACTATACTAATTTAGTTTTCTTCACAGTTTAATGTCCATAAAATGTTATAGTGAAAAAAGCTTATTTTTTTTGTGGCTCCAGGATTTTTTGTGGCTCCATTATCATATCAATTCCATCATCTATGTCCACTTTTTCCAAAGCAAAGTATAGATGATTAAGGAAACATTTGAAAGCCATTTTCACCCACCAAGTAAACTGTACCAATTTTTTCCAAGCCAAATACTAAAGTTTTTCTTAAAAATACATGCCACATGGGAAGCAAATCCTGAAAATAAGTGGACCAAAGAGGGATAGGATGACTTCTGTCTGGAAATGAAAAATACTAATTAACTTTAAAACACTGGCAAATATTCATTGCAAAGAGCATAATGCTCCGGAGTTGTTTAACTTCAAGCCACACTGATCAAAACCCAAATTGCTCCCCAAGTATTACGTAAGTTTTGGCTGTGACCCAAACAAACAAGTTTTGGAAGACTAGAAAATCATAGGCCTAAAAAACAACAAAGGCCAGATGCACAAGGGGGACTTAAACACCTAAAGAGGCAGTTAAGTACCTAAGTCCAACATTTAGATGCCAGTGGCATTCACAAAGCCACTGCTCAGCTGCTGCCTAACCCTGTAGGCACTGAAAGTCCCCAGAGCACCTACATTTCTGCCAGTGAGCGTGTGCACAACCACCTAATTGACACCACTGAGCAGTTTGGTGCCAACCTCACGCCTAAGCCCCAGCAAGATTCACAAGCCAGGCATTCTCCCAACTATCTCACTGCAGGGCCCAATGCAGTAGGCACACTCAGAGGCTTCCTAAGAGCACACTTACCAGATCTTGTACATTGTTGTCATGGTACCCATGCCCCCCTTATGCCCAATAGTTAGCACCCTCATCCAAGATGTGGAAGAACCAGATTCAAATCCCTCCTCTGCCTGATTCAGAGCAGGGACTTGACTCCTAGTCTCCCACATCCCAAGTAAATATCCTTACCACTGGGCTATGACTATGCTGAGGTAGGACTCTCTCGAGCTCCCCGGTGGAAGCTGTTCCATTTCGTATAAATGCTTCAATGGGCCATTGTGAGTGAGACTCTAGCCTAGTGTTTAGCACACTCACCTAGGAGAGCCCGGTTCCAGTCCCTGCTCCAATGTTTAAGAATTTATACAAAGTGTAACAGCTTCAAATAGGAGAGAGAGAATACCCCACCCCATAATACGCTATAGCCCAGGGGTTAGAGCACGCATTTGGGGGGCAGGAGATCTGAGGGTGTGTGTGAGTTCAAGTCTCTGCTTCTAATAAGGCACAGCAGCAATGTCAACCCGAGTGTCCCTCATCCTGAGGGCTCCAAACATTGGGATATAGAATATAAAGGGAGGGGTATCACCATCTTTCAGTTTTTCTTGAGAAAGGACTGACTTAGACACCTAACTCAGGAGAGAATTCCTGGCTGTGAATCCTGAGTGGAAACAGGTGCTCATTATGAGTGGTGTAGCCCAAGCGCCACTCTCTTCCTTCGCATTTCCTACTGGCTATTCTAGGCAGCACCCCACTCTGCTTGCTGGCTTCTGTGAATCCCCTTTTTAGACTCCTAAGTCTCCCCGTGCATTGTATGGGAAGCCTGGGAGCCTAATTCAGGGTTGTGAATTCCACAAGGCAGGAGATCACCTAAAAGTTAGACATTGCAATGTCTAAGTCCCCTTTGTGAATCTAGCCCCATGTTTTAAATGCCATCTTTTGCAGCTTAACAATGAATTTGTTGAACACATTGCCATGGGAAAAACCTCTTTGCTTTCCACATTGGGTGAAGGGGTGTTTAGTTTCAGACTCCTTATCAAGATGCTCATTTACTTTTTAATTAAAAAGATGTAGCCATTATAAAATGCACATACAGCTACTTCAACCCAACACACCTAGAAGCCAGAGTTCCCTTGCTCATGATCTCCATTCAGCCCATGCTCACTCTTCAGCCAAAGACCTGAAAGTAAACAGAAAAGTTTATAGCATCACCTCAAACTGGCTTATGTACTATGGTGATACAGTGACACAACATGTCATGAAAGGCAACAGATTGTCTCACCCAGACTGACCGTAGAAGCTAATTCGAGAGAAGAGTGTTCAACAATAACACAGGTCCACCAGTCTGCAAGAGACTAAATCCTTCCACTCTTCTCGAGCTACCCATGGGATACACACTCAGAGGGGACAGATACTACCCCACTACACTCTAAGTGCTTCCCCTATATCAGGGGTCGGCAACCAATGGCATGCATACCAAAGATGGCACGCTGCTGCCTGCCAGGGTCCCAGCCGCCCAGGCAGCAGCGTGCCATTAAAAGTCCTGCCTGCCCCGGCCTGCTCTTCTCTGCCCCCCACCCCCCACCCAGTGGGGGCAGGGTGAAGAAGCTTGTTCCTGCCGGCTACTGCTCAGGGCAGGCAAGCTCCCCCGCCTCTTCCACCAGCGTGCTGGGTTCCTGCCCCCCTCCTCTCCTCTCCCTCTCTGTCACCGGTCAGCTGATGGCCCTTGCTAGGGAGGGGGAGAAGCGGAGCCACGCGCTCGCTGCTCCGGGGAGGAGGCGGAGAAGAGGTGGGGACGGGGCCTTGGGGAAGTGGGGGTGGAATCAGGGCATATCCCCTCCAGCCCCCTGCCGTGAGCCGCTCAGGGCAAGGGGCTGGGCGCACCCCCACGACCCCAGCCCACACCCTAAGCCCTCTGCCCTGACCCCTGCACCCCCCTCAGCCCTCTGCTCTGACTTCTGCACCCTCCTCACAACCCCAGCCCTCACCCCTGCACCCTCCTCACACACCCCATGCCCTGACCCCTGCACCCCCTCACACACCCTCAGCCCTTTGCCCTGATCACCGTATCCCCCCATGACCCCAGCCCTGACTCCTGCACCCCCACACATACCCAGCCCCCCACACCCTGTGTCCTGACTCTTGCACCCCCCACCCTGAGCACCAAACGGGAGCACCTGCACACTCGCACCAAATGGAAGCTGCCCAGGTAAGCACTCCACACCCAAACCTCCTGCCCCAACCCTAAGCCCCCTCCCTCATTCTAGCTCTTGGCCAGACCCTATACCCCAACCTGCTCCTTCACTCCCAGCCCTGTGCTCAGTGCACTCCCACCCTCAGCTCAGTGCAGAGAGAGAGGAAGAGAATGGGCTAGAACCAGGGAGAAGGTAGGTACCCACTCTATGTGGGCAGCGCCAGGATCCAGACTGGCAGCGGGCTGAGCCGCAGCGGGCTGAGCCGCTCAGCCCACTGCCAGTCTGGAGTTCTGGCTGCCGGCCCCGTGCCAGCCAGGGTCCCGGCCACAGGACCCGCTCAGCCTGCTGCCGGCCTAGGTGAACGGAACCCTAGGCTGGCAGCGGGCTAGCGGCGTAAGATCAGCATTTTAATTTAATTTTAAATGAAGCTTCTTAAATATTTTGAAAACCTTGTTTACTTTACAAATGACAATGGTTTAGTTATATAATATATAGACTTATAGAGACCTTCTAAAAAACGTTAAAATGTATTACTGGCACGCAAAACCTTGAATTAAAGTGAATAAATGAAGACTCGGCACTTCTGAAAGGGTGCTGACCCCTGCTCTATATGTACCAACAATACTGTCATTGTCTGTTTTGTGGTTCAAACCCCCACTCTCATCTATGCCTCTGTGGGCAAGCACTAGGAACACAGACACAGCGGTCTCTTTTCCCTCAGTCTCGGATGATAGTGAGATAGTGAGATAGTGAGATTGATAGTGAGATTGAGATGATAGCAATGTGATCTTCCATAGTGGTCTCCAATACCCATTGAACAGGCTGGGTTCAACAGGCAGATGGGCAACTGTGCAATAGCATCGTCTAGGGAAACAGAACTCCATCCACTCTCATGGTCTGCAGGCAAGTTCAACCGCTTCGGGGTCACCCACATGGATGATTGTTCACAGATCTAAACACAGATGCTTAACCTTCATTTACTGGCAAGAAATTCATTGACCAATGAATCAGTGAAGTGTCAATACCACAGTCAGGCCAAAAACCAGATTGAAAGACGTCTAGGAACTCAAATGACTACAAAACCAGCAATTTCTCAGGATTAGGAAATGCTAGAGACACGGCATAACTGGTGCGTGGTAAAGCTGTCACTATCCAGAGACAGAGTGTGCTTATTGAGGGAAGCTGGCACTCCCCTAAAGTATGCCCGTAATGGTCACAATGCTCCCTTTCTTGCTGTTTGCTTGCACTAACCACAAAAGGCACAAGTCTGTCTTGTAGTTGTGGCCTACGGCTCTTCCTGTACTTCTAGGAGGCCCCTCTGAGCCAGGGAGACTAGCAGAATCTCAACCATGGACCTAATACTGTTGTCAGCATGTCATACTACCTGTCCACTAGGATGAGATGGCCCTGGAACCCTCATAAAATCCCAAGGCCAAGAAATGGGAGCAGGGGGTAGAGAGAGATTCCTGCTGATGACCACTGTGGGCCATGCTGTGCAATACAAGGGTGATTTTAGCAATACTTAGCACTTACATGTACTGTAAATACATTAATTATAGCTTTTAAAATTGCATGTAGTACCAAACCAGTTCTAAACTGACACTTCAAAAAGAGAACGGTGATGTTAAAATAAAGAGTTGGTGTGCCTATAAATCAAAGGCAAAAGTCATCTTCCTGTGGTGTCTGCATGTTAGTAAATCCCTCCTAAAAGAAAAAACCCAAACATTTACGTTAATTGTCTCATAGGCTATAATGACGATAAAACTGTGATTTTCTGATTTAACATTTCTCAAACAGTTCTTCCTATCCACATCTGTAATATTTTAATAAAGAAAACAGGAAACTGCTATTATTGCATGGGACAACTTTAACATCTGCTAGAGCTTTTCAAAATGTGTGCTAGCTGTTAATTAAAAAAAATTCCCAGGAGCATAGAAACTATCAGTTACACTATTTAACAGAATAACAATTTTATACTGAACTAGAGAACAACCACAATCTTTTTTGTAGTCATCTCTTTTTGACTGTGAAGCCCTCTCAGACCTTTTGTCCTTCTGTGACTTCCTTCCCACAAGAGAGATGGGGTTGGACAAAAACCAGCTCTCCGGGTCTAATCAGCATAGAACTGGGGAGATGGAGAAGAGGGTCAAGAAGCAGAGAGACCTTGTAGGACCTTTACGAGCACAGATCTAAAGCCTGATTGCAAAATATCCACAGTGCTAGCTAATTCACACATCAGCGTATTCAATAAAAGTACATATGCTGCAAAGAACAGACTTTTGTCCTATATGTAACACCTCTGCTCTTCATAAACAAAACTGAGATGTATAAGGCACAAAGCTATCTCAGTGCCCCACTGTCATTCATTCTTCAATGTTTATTACTTTAATAACCTTGTTTGTACACAACTTGTTCTCTTCATGAGAGAACATTGGCTTTATTATGTGAGCCATCACGTAATCATACAGCCAAAGCCAACATGGTTCTAATTTTCTCCTTGTTCGCATACTAAGAATATTGATACGAGCACAGCAGTTAAATATGGTTTATTAGTGATTCTGCTTCCTTTGCTCTTTCTACAGTTGCCATGCAAGGATTAAAATACAACCTATATAAAAAGGACCATTTGAAAATTTCAAGAGGGGTGGATTTAAAAATTAGATAGGGGATTTTACATAACAGTTTCTTTAAATTAGGTAATAAGTTGGACCCAAAAATGTCAGTGTCCCAAATCAAGGTTGTGTGCAAAACTGGACTGGAGGTTCCAAAGTTCAGAGGGAGGTAAAGACAGATTAATAGACCAAATGATTTAAAGTTTCATTTTAACATTTTTCTTACGGACTTCTTGTTATCCAAATGTTTCATATCCATGCTTATGGAGATAAAGGTCCCACATCCAAAAAGGCCACTGAGATCAATGTCCTGGGAGCAACCATTCTTCCATTTTAAAACCATTTAATTCCAAGCAGAGTTTTTCACAACAAGATTTTAGGATAGGTGGCTGCAGCAAAATATCTAATTAGACATTTTTAGGAACTTGCATCTTTGAAAGTTTTAAACCAGCTACAATAGCATGTTCTGTTTCTTTTATACAACACTAAGGATCACATGAGAATAGTCTGTAACCTAATTAATGTAATATTTATTTTCTATGAGTGACTACAGAGCAACTGGATTATGCAAGTCACTGCCATTTTAGCAGAGGAATTTTTTCACCATCCTACACCAATCACAGTTGCTGGAACAATACCCAGTAAACTGGCAAATTCCATAAATTTAATATTTGAACCACTCTGCCTAGATATACGAACAAGGCGGCCCAACTTTCCCAATATTCAAACTCTTGAATGTAAAAAGTTCTCCTGTGGGATTGGAAAGTTTGCTCAAAGTATACACACAGCAGTGGAGCATAAAGTTTATGATTAAGTCATTACAAAGTAAATCTGCAGGATTGGAAGAAAGGAATTGCAGCCTATGGTGCCTCTTCTGATGCTTGAGTTTCCATCACTTTCCATCTCTGAAGAAATTGGAGTCCCACTATACTTTCCAGGTAAAAAAAAACTAACAGTTGATACAGCAGGAAATGAGTTATTCATTGCATCATCATCTCATTTTAAAAATACCAGAACAAAACACAAGTTTGACCCCTGGAGTCACAGGCTAACGTTTCATTAAGTACTCCTTTTTAAGAGCCATGTTAATACAATTTACACTATGCCATCACTTTGTAAGGTTGAATATGAAATGCAAGTTATTGTGTTGCAAAGTGCTTTCATTCCAGAGGATTGCAGATTACTTTACCGATTTATTCATTCAAGTTATATACTGGGATCACTTCACCCCTCACTGAAATGCAAGCCACATCTGAAGTCAAAACAGATAGTAACAGTAGAATGCAAAACGACACACAGTTTAGGGCAGAAAGTGAATGGGATACTCGATAGTAGAAAGTGCAGGAGAAATGTAGGAAGGCAGAATTTAGTTACTGAACTTGGAATGTGGCTTGGGACATGGTATTAACGTAGTTTAAAAAAATAAATCATGGACATTTTATTCACTATCCAGGTGCAGGAACTCTTACAATTTAACCAAATTTTGGTACCGCAAAGGGTCCTGGCTCCAAGTTGTAATCAATCAAGAGGAAGAGAAAGCTACCTATTGAATCAAGGCCTCTGACTGCTGCTCCTGGATAGGATACCTACAAGAAAGAGCTAAGTTCTGACCAGATCCAAACTTGAAGAGAACAGCTTCCTTTTTACCCTGGGAAACCTGTCTGCAAGATTGCCTGAAGTTAGATTGTGTACTTAAGTAAGCAAATATAGGGAGATCATCATCCACTTGTATTTTAAATGTCATCGAGTGTAGAAATGTCTAACTTAGATTATTGGTACCATTACAACAATCTACGACCCCCAGCT